AGACTGTTGTGACGGTTAAATGAGATAAATGATGTGGAAAGCCTATTATCAGCTTGGTATACAACCTCACTGGACTGATTTTCAAATAGCATCTACTGAAAAGCATACCATCAGGTTTACAATGATTTTTCACATAAAAATATGAACTGAAAATAAATAAAAAATAAAAAACTGAAATGACCAAATTAATTTGAGAGTTATCATTTGAAAATTAGAATACTCTGAATGTCTGCAACCAAGGAAATAAGATGACATATTCACTTATGTATACACACACACAAAAACTTTTCAGATCCACAAACTACAATGTTCAACGGACTCTCCATACAATATATTCACAGAAGTACTATCAACAAGTTAATTATCTATCTAATCCTAGAGTAACTCTAAACCCTAAAAGAAAAAAAAAGAAAAAACACAGCTTTTTGCACATTCTATACAGCATCTTAGAAAATCCAGTATCAAACAGAGGCATATAAATAAAGGTTCATAAACATTAACCAAACTGAGCAAAAATGTAAAAAAAAAAAAAAAACAAAAACCTCAGCAAATAAAGGGGTAATGGTGAAAAAAATATCTCTGCACAAGTGGTTCTCAAACTATTCTGCTAGAATTAAATAATAATGGCCTTTTCCTGATGTGCAAGGAAAATAAATTTGTTCAATTTTAAGTTATTCTTTTAAAGATGTGTTTTAGATTTTTTTCACATTCTACCACAGAAGTACATACATAACAACTGAGTGTTGATGGAAAAATGTGGCAATAGTTGACTCAGGCTAAAGTCAATAGTTTAGTTTTTTATGCTCTGACTTGCAGTTTACATTGGTTCAATGCATGTTATTTTAGTTAAATTTCTTATTGAACTTATTTCTTATTTATTGGATGTTAAATTTTAGTTCACATGATGAGATTACCATAATTTGTATATTAATATCTAAAAAAGAATAAACAGTATCGGTAAACAGCACAAAGATAGGAAGAATTCTCTCTAAATAAGAGAATGTTTCATTTCTATTTTTCTAATATCTAAAGCAATATATGTGAAAATATTAAATTCCTACTCCAATTCCATTTACGTATTCTTAAATACGTAAGAATTTATGTATTTACGTGGGGAGGGGGTGCAGGGGGAGGAACACGATGACTTTCAATTTCCTAATTTATAAGAAAAGTGAACCAGGTAGGTCTGTGAGGACCTTTCAGCTCTGCAATGTCATCATGTTTACTTTTCATCTTCTGAGGTTTTTTCCTAGTACATATTGCCATAGTGATATGACACTGTGGTTGATAACTTTACACTTTTTTAAATGTGAGGGTTTCTCAGGTAGCTCAGTGGTAAAGAATCCGCCTGCCAATGCAAGAGATTCAGGAAGATCCCTTGGAGTAGGAAATGGCAACCCACTCCAGTATCCTTGCCTACAGAATTCCATGGACAGAGGAGCCTGGAAGGCTACAGTCCATGGGGTCACAAAAAGTAGGATATGACTGACCAAGTAACACACACATTCCAAAAGGCTATATGCATTAGATGATGGGAGGAAAAAGAGGAGGAGAACCCCATAAATTAAAACTATTCCCCACATTCAGTTCAAAAACCTCCAGAGCAATAACTTGTAGGAAAATGTGAGCTTTCAGAGGATCTGAAATCAGAAATCTTTTCTCCACTGTAATGGTTAACATCATAGGAACATTATAAAACAAGTTTAAAAAACAATTTTAAAAATGCTGTTTCTCAAAATAAATGTCATAAATCTGCGTAACATCCTCCCGATCAGTTAGATTTGACATTAGGAGAACTGGATTCTAGCCACCTCTGATACCTAATAGTTCTGACCTTAAACTCTCAATTCAAACAAAAGCTGCTCTAAGCCAGGTACTATGCTGGGTGCCAGGGATACAAACAGAAATAAACATGGTTCATGACCTCATATTGAGATCATATTAAATGACTTTATCTTAGATTTGCTTCTGATGGTATTCTAAGGCTTTAATACATACACTAGTAAGTGTCTTCCAGGCACCCTGCTTATATCAACTTATTTAACAACAATCTTGTTAAGTAAATATTATCTCTGTCATTCAAAGAAAGAACCTGAGATGCACAGAGTTGCAAATTTGGGTAAGGTCACACTGCAGAGCCCAAATCAGAACTCAAATCTTTCACTTATACCATGCTATCTAACAAACAAATAAGGACAATTAATTTCAACTTAGGTAACTTTTAAAACATCCCTATAAAGAAGGAATTTAAGACAGACATAGAAGTTGTGAAAGAAAAAGCATCTGAGGTAGAAGGAAGAGCTGGAGTAAAGGTAAAGTATTGAGAGTATCAGGTACACTCGGAGGATAGCACATAGCCCTGCATGACTGCTACACTGGGAAGAGGAGCTTAAGGGGGGAAAAAAAATGAAAAAGCAGGTTGGTGTCAAACCATGGGCTTCAAAATTTTGTACCACTTTTCTCCAGACATAGTTCTCTGGGCACTACCAGTCTTCAACTGAAGTTCCTTTTTCTCTATGACTTCAGTTCCTTTGCATTACTTCATGCATTAGTCACTCTTTGATAATAGCTAATGGTTAGTGAATGCTCGTAAGTTCCAGGCACTTATTTTATGCTCATAATAATCCCACAAAGCAGGTATTTTATTTTTATCAATTATAAGGATGAGGCACAGAGAAGTAAGAAAAATTGTACAAAATTAAGCACTAACTGGTAAAGTGGAATCTAAACAGTGTGGCTCCATAGCCTATTTTTTTTTAATGTACAAAACAGAGGGATTATAAATCCTTTTTTTTTAAATTGAAGTACAGCTGATGTACAATGTTGTATTAATTTCTACTGTACAGCAAAGTGACTCAATCATACGTACATTTTCTTTTGCACGTTTTTTTCCATCATGGTTTATCACAGGATATTAAATATAGTCCCGGACCTTGTTGTTTATCAGAGCCTGAACTCCTAACCTGTGCTATACTACCTCTAAATGGAAGAACTTTTTGTCTCCACTATTAAAGGGAGTTCCTTGAGGGCTAGAATAAAAATAGCTTTGTTGCTGTTGCTGCCATTGGAGGAAGGTGGTAAGGAGGAGAAGAGATTTATATTCTCAGCACCTAGGACAGTGCCGGGTACACAGCAGGCTTTCATAAATATTTGTTGAGCTGAACTGGCCTTGACTACTTAACTAGAGTCTGGACTGTTTTTCCCATAAGAGGTTGGCAAACTTTATCTGTAAAGGGTCAGATAATAAATATTTTCGGCTTTGCCAGCCATAAAGTCTCTGTCACATTTATTCATTTCTCCCCCTATACCACAAAAGCAGCAATAGACAATTCTTAAACAAATGAGAATGGCTGAATTTAATAAAACTTTGTTTACAAGAAAAGGCAATGGGCTAAGGAGCTTCAATACTGGAATCAGAAATTATGCCCCCCACCTTTCCTTTTTCTTTCTATAATCATTCTAGAACATGGGTATCCAATAGAGATACAATGGAGCCACAAATACAAGGCACACATATAATTTTTTAATTTTCTAGAAGTCACATTAAAGAAACGTATTTCTCATAGTAAGTCTTCAGTCTAGTGTGCATTTTACTCTTATGTACCTTAGTTCACTTTAGATCCATTTCAAATGTCAACTATAGTTGCTCCCATATAGTGGCTCCCATATTTGGCAGCACAAAAGAACCACCAAGTAACCTATAGATCTCCACTTAACAGCAGCTGGTCTTGGTACCATCTCCTTGCCTGGCCTGCCAGTTGATTTTGAACCTAATTCTGAACTATACACCAGTTTCACATTACTGGTAGCTCAATATATCAATGTTTTCATTTTTAGTCACATTTCACACCTGATCCTCCTAAAAAAATAACCAAGTAGGTAGGCATGTTATATCAGTTTTACAAATGAGGAAAAATCAGTTTTATAAATGAGACAGCTGCCACTCTGGTGAGAGACAAAACTGAAGTCTCCTGACTTCTTGCCAAGATCTCTCTACTTAAGCCTCAACAGCACCACCTCATTTGTCAAAGTTGTAATTTTGCATTTATCTGTCAGACTATTTCCTATCCCCACTAGCATGTGAACTCCATGAAAGCAAGGACTTTTTCCTGACCATTGCATCCCCAGTGCCCAGCAGGTGTTTTGCAAATATGTAATATTTGTTTAATGGATAAAAGAAATTACGGTTTTCCCCAATTGTCTTTAGTCTATTAAACGTAATTTATCTTATTTCTAGTAACTAATGTGAAAAAGTAGCAATATACCATATAGTTGATTAAATCGAAGCTTAACTTACTTCCAATATAACTCAAAAAAGAGTGGAAAAATGGCTGGGAACCAAGGCCTGAGTTCGAGTGCCCGCCCTGCGTTGAACTCGTAAGCTCTAGAGTAAATTAATTTTCTGAGCAGGAATTCTTATCTGTCAAAGAGCAAAGGGCTATAATGTCCACGATAACGTTTAGAGATAAGTTTTTCTTTAAATCAATTTGATGCAGGTCAGCGTCCCATTCCTCACATACTTCCCTTCTCGGCGACGGAGAACTTACTTAGTGAGAGAGAGCCAGGTACCAGGTAGGTCTCTCTCCGGGGACTCCGTCTGGACACCCTGCCGCAGGCCGCTGAGCACTGGCGGGGGCCGCCATCTTTCCCTTTGGCCCGACCCCAACCGCCACCCACGGGCACGGGGTAACGCGAACCTCACCTCTCCTCGCTGTCTCTGCATTTCACCTGCAACGGGACGAGTTGCTGGAACAAAATCTGGCTCATGCTGAACCGCTGCCCTGGCCAGTGTGCGAAAAAATACAACACAACAGGCCCGGCCCGCGATATTAGCCTGAAAGACTTCCGGGTCCTGTAAAGTTTGAGTTTGCCGCTCTACTTCCGCGGAGGAGGCGGGGAAAGAGAAACAGAGGGAATACGAAGGAGGTTTGGACCTCGCCGGCCACCATCAACTTCTTCCGGTTTTATGAAGCTGGGGTGGTAAAGTTCCGGGCATGGGGTTATCCTGCGTGGCGGGAGCTGACGCAGCCATATTTGTTATGGGAAAGGGACCAGAGTAAACCAGAGAACTTTTCTTTTCTTTAGCCCATCAATGCTTGCCACCCGGAGTAAGCCCTGAATTATGGCGGCCTCTGCTTTGACGCCGCATGGAACTGCCTTTCCAGAAGAGGGGCGATGCGGTTATTTTGTGGAAAAGAAGAAGCGGTTCTGCAGGATGGTGGTGGCAGCCGGAAAAAGGTTCTGTGGTGAACACGCTGGAGCCTCGGAGGTCTGGTATCGCCTTACCCTCTCGAGGGTCGGAAATAAGTTTCCTGGTCCGGCACCTCCCCTCTGACAGATTTCTTCTTCAGTCCCCTGGATTTTGCAGCTTTTCCTGTGATAAACGCAGTACTGGCCTCCCTAGGGAGAGATGATGAGCCGTAGTGAAGTGCAGTGTTTTCTTTTATTTAAGTAAAGCGCCAGCAGTGACCTGTTTATCTTGATACCAACTCATGGTAATGCTAGATTTTAGTTTTACTGCAGACTATCGCTTCTTGCGCTCGGCTCACTCTCCGCCTTCCTGATGGGAAATGGTGGTTTAGAAAGAAGAGTGATTAAAGAAAGAATCCAAGGTTTCACTAATTGTGTTTTCATTGTTTCGTGAACGATAATCACGTCTTGTGAATGCGGTTGAGAGAAACTTCTAAAAATTTTTTATTTAGACGTACAGTCTTTTGAAAGCAACTAGTAACTACTTTGCTGAAAAGGGGAAGGAGAGATTTAAAAAACACGTAAGAATGAATTCTTTTAAAATTGAGAACAGAAAGTGTACAGTTTTGCTCGATTGTACATATGATTGTATTGTCAAGCAGCATATACTTTTATGTATGTGTATTTCTTTAGGGTATACATGACAGGGCATTTAAAAAACAAGATAAAAAAACAAGATCAGCATAATGCTTATAGAAAAAGAGCATGTTTCATAGGTTTTAGGAAGATTAAACCATAGAGAAAAGCATTTGATTTCATGCCTTCTGAATATCCAGTATTATTTACATTATTTTTGTTTGTTAGATGGTTTATCCTTCTAGGCAATATCCAGTACAGATAACACCGTAGAACCCCTTCATCTGCTACTGATCCCTCATAGCTATAGCTCTAATTCATATTTTGCTTTAACTGTTAACTTGCCTGGAATGAAGTGTACTGAAACAAGCTTATTCTTCTTTTGACCTGTGACTGTGACCTGTGACTTACAGAAACTCTTTGAAGTACACTTTCTGTTGTATTTTGAGAGGACCAGCAAACGTCCCCTGATTGAAAAATGAATTTTATGATTGCAGGAGGATTTTTTTCTCCCTGTTATAAGACCTGGTATTTCACCTTAACCAGACGTCCAGAAGATGACAGCAGATGGAAACAATAGTAATGACTAGATCCTTACAGGGTAATCCATATTCTTGAAGAGGAATGACATCATGTTATTAATCTCTTGAAAAAGGACTGAAAAGCACCAAGTAGAAACACCTTCAATGACTATGGTTTGGTTTTCAATTTAGGGTATTCTGGGCTTGCCTGGTGGCTGAGACATTAAAGAGTTTGCTTGCAATGCGGGAGACCCAGGTTCAATCCATGGGTTGGAAAGTTCCCTTGGAGAAAGGCATGGCCACCCACTCCAGTATAATTGCCTGAAAGATTCCATGGACAGAGGAGCTTGGTGGGTTACACAGCCCATGAGGTTGCAAAGAGTGGGATACACTGAGCAACTGACACTTTCACTGACTCTTTAATTTTTGTTATGATTGAGTATATTGTTTCCATCTCTTTTTTCTTAAGTGTCATATATGGCTGAGACAACTTGTACTTATTTTTACCCATTGTTTCTAATTTAGGGGTGATTTAGCCTCCCCAGACAATGTCTGAAGACATTTTGATTGTCACAGCTGGAAACTGTTTCTTGCATCTAATGGCTAGAGGCCAGAGATGCTGCCAAACATCCTACAGTGGGCAGGACAGCCCCCACAAAAAAGAATTATCCAGCCCCAAGTACAGTAGTGCCAAGGTTGAGAAGCCTTGTTTCTAACAAATAACGAATTCTAAAAGTACTTTCCCCTACTTATCATTAGACTTTGGGAAGTTAACATAGAGTCTTCTCCTTCATGGAGTTTAGACTTTAAAGCCAGCAAATAGGGAAGAATATGTGCTATATCTTCAAAAGATACTGAAAAGTCTCTTAACTAGTTCATGAAATTCAGTGAACATAGTTTTGTGGATACACTGGGAGGCAAAACGGAACTGAAATAAACTGAAAAAGAAATTGTTAATACTAGTAATGAACACAGCATTTACTGTATGAACAGCACTGTGCTAACATTTCTTTTGAAACCTATTAGCTCAATTTTTACAACCCTTGAGAGGTAAGATACCTTATTATCTTTCAGATGAGGCAGTAAGACTTCAGATCATAGAGTTAGGAGCTGATAGTTAGGAACTGATAGAAAAATTAGGAATCTAAGCAGTCTGACTGACCTTTGGTTTTAACAGTTATACTATACAGACTTGCCAACACTATTAACTATTAACTCCTTTATTTTTTCTGAGTACATGTAGTTAAATCAATGTAACTTAGAAACAAATAGGATGTTATTATTCTGTACCAAAAGCTACAAAGCCAGTAGAGTATGATCACGTACCAAATGGTTAAAAGACCATATAGATGTCCCCAGCTGACTGTGGTTCAACTTATGATTCTTTGGCTTTATGATACTGCAAAAGCAGTGGGCATTCAGTAGAGAGCATACTTTGAATTTTGAATTTTTCATCTTTTCTGGGGCTAGTGATATGCAGTACTGGGCAGTGTCAGGGAGTCAGGGCTCCAAGTCAGCCATACTATCACAAGGATAAACAACTAATATGCTAACTGTCATTCTGTACCCACAGAACCGTCTGTTTTTCACTTTCGGTACAGTAGTCAATAAAATACATAAGATATTCAACACTTTATTATGAAATAGGCTTTTAGATGATTTTGCCCAACTGTAGACTTCTGTTAAGTGTTCTGATCACACTTGAGATAGACTAGATTATGCTATAATGCTCGGTAGGCTAGGTGTATTATATGCATTTTTGACTGAGAATATGTCAACTTACAATGGGTTTATCAGGATGTAATTCCATCATCAGTTGAGTTGAGGAAGATCTGTCTTTTGTTGTGTCTGAGATACACTTTTCCCCCACACACATTTTAACATCTCTAAAATCAGAATATTTCTTAATATCAATGATATGTCATAATTTAGACTGGCAGCATTTTTTTTCCTTAGTGGTCCCTAGAATAATAGTGTATATCTAGTCAGTGCTGTCATAGATTCAAAATTACATATGTTGGCTTTCTCTGTAACTTTCTCTTTCTCTAGAGAAAGGTATCTTTCTCTGTAATCTATAGATCAGTGTTTCCCAAAGCAGTATTTGCTCATGTATACCTAAACTGGCTACACGAGAGGTTTTTTTTTTTAATTGAAGTATAGATGATGTGAAAGTTTAGTCACTCAGTTGTGTCTGACTCTTTGCAAACCCATGGACTGTAGCCTACCAGGATATCCATCCATGGGATTTTCCAGGCAAGAGTACTGGAGTGGGTTGCCATTTCCTTCTCCAGAGGAACTTCCTGACACAGGGATTGAACCCAGGTGTCCCACATTGTAGGCAGACGCTTTACGGTCTGAACCACCAGGGTACAGAGATACAATACAGTGATTCACAATTTTAAAGGTTATACTCCATTTACAGTGGTTATAACATATTGGCTATATTCCATGTGTTGTACAATATATCTCTGTAGTTTTATACATAATAGTTTGTACCTCTTAATCCTCTGCCCCTATAATGTTCCTCTCCCCTTCTCTTCATTGGTAACCACTAGTTTGATCTGTATATTTGTCAGTCTGTTGCTTTTTTTCTTATTTTCGCTAGGAGTATTTTTTTTAGAGTCCACATATAAGTGATATCACACAGTATTTGTCTTTCCCTGTCTAACTTATTTCTCTGACCGTATCCTCCAAGTCTATCCATTTTGTTGCAAGTGGCAGAATTCCAGTCTTTTTAAAGGCTGAATAGTATTCCATAGGGGTGGGTGTGTGTGTGTGTACCACATCATCTTAATCCATTCATCTGTTGATGAATACTTAACGTTGTTTCTATATCTTGGCAGTTATAAATAATGCTACTGTGAACATTGGGGTACACATATCTTTCTGAATTAGTGTTTTTATGGATATGTACCCAGAAGTGGAATTGCTGGGTCATATGGTAGTTGTATTCTTCATTTTTTGAGAGCCCTTCTTAATATTTTCCATAGTGACTACCAATTTACATTCCTACCAACAGTGAATGAGAATTTCCTTTTTTCCACATGACTGTCAGTATTTGTTGTTTATGTTCTTTTTAATGATAGCCATTCTGACAGGTATGAGGTGATATCTCATTACACTAGAAATTTGTGTTTTAAACTCGATGATCTGATTTGGGGAGTGTTTTGTTAATGTGCCTTTAAGGTTTCCTTAATCTTGTTTTGGGCTAGCATAAGCTTATGATTATACTGAAGTTGTATCTAGTATCTGTAAGCAATAAACTTGATATATTGTTAGAATAAATATGTTCTTTGTTTTGTTGTTGTTTTTAGGAAGAAAATGCTCGGAAAAGAATTCTGTGTCCTTTAGATCCAAAACAGTAAGTATGGGTTGGAGAAGGGTTTTTCTGTGCTAGAAACAGTGATTATCACAGTCTTATTTTAAATAATTTTCTCTTTGAATTTAGCACAGTATATGAAGATCAACTAGCAAAGCATTTGAAAAAGTGTAACTCAAGAGAGAAGCCGAAACCTGTAAGTGTTTGGTCAGTAAAATTGAATGGTAAAATAGGTGCTATGTAATATTTATATATACTTAGTAGATTACAAATATGAGCTTTTAACAAAGCTCTTGCTTCAGGAGACTGAAATATGGTAAATACACCTGAGTGTATATAGGACATTAGACTGTGAATCCACTAGGAGTCCTAATTCAGGTAACAGATGTTTTTGCAACAAAAATAGTACTCAGAGAGTAATTCCACAGTTTATCTATTCAAAAATACTTAATGCCAACGCTAGTGGTAAAGAAACCACCTGGCGGTGCAGGAGACACAAGAGACACAGGTTCATGCCCTGGGTCAGGAAGATCCCCTGGAAGAGGGCACGGCAACCCACTGCAGCATTCTTGCCGGGAGAACCCCATGGACAGAGGAGCCTGGTGGCCCCAGTCCACAGGGGAGAAGAGAGTCAGACACAACTGAGGCAACTTAGCACAGTAGCATACAAGTTTATTTCAGGAAAATATGATCCCAGTCTTCAGTGAACTGTTAAGTTCAATGAAAGAAGTAAGTGTACATGTGATAAGAGCACATACTTGCATTAAAATTAAATCTAAGGGATCAAGAAAGACTTTCCAGAAAGAGTAACACTTGAACTAAATCCTTTTTTTAAATATATAATTCTTTTTTTTTTTTTTTTTTGGCTCTGCTGGGCCTTCGTGGCTGTGTGGGGTTTTTTCCAATTGTGGAGAGCAGGGTCTGCTCTCCAGTTGCAGTAGGCCAGATTGTCATCACGGTGGCTTCTCTTGTTGCAGAGCATGGGCTTTAGGGTGAGCAGGCTTCAGTAGTTGTGGCACATAGGCTCAGTAGTTGCTGCTCCCAGGCTCTAGGGCACAGGTCCTGCACCTGGATAATAATCTTCCTGGATCAGGGATCAAATCTGTCTCCTGCATTGGCAGATAGATTCTCAACCATTGGACTACCAGGGAAGTCCCAGCAGCACTGTCATTTTGACGACAAATTATCCCCATACATTTCCAAATGCCTTCTAATTGAGAACCAGTAAGCCAGATGGCACAAGTTTAAAAAGAAAAGATGTTTACGTTAAGATGTGTAGTGGAAAAGGGATGACTGTCCCTAGTTAGCCTCTGGGTGAAAAGAATGTTGCCTTCACTTTCAGGTGTGCATGGCGATTATCTGGCTTCACTGGTGGCTCAGGCAGGTTCTTTAGAACCTGCCTGCAATGCAGGAGTGTTAGCGTTAGTCACTCGGTAGTGTCTGACTCTCTGCAACCCCAGGGACTGCATGTAGCCATCAGGCTCCTCTGTCCATGGGATTCTCCAGGCAAGCATCCTTGAGTGGGTTGCCATTTCCTTCTCCAGGGGATCTTCCCAACCCAGGGATTGAACCTGGGTCTCCTGCATTACAGGCAGATTCTTTACCATCTGAGTCACAAGGGAACCCGGGTTCAGTCCCTGGATTGGGAAGATCTCCTGGAGAAGGGAATGGCTACCTACTCCAGCATTCTATCCTGGAGAATTCCATGGACAGAGCCAAAGAGTTGGACACACCTGAGCAACTAACATTTTCACTTTCACAGGCATGGAGGTTCTCTTCCTTACCTGTTAGACTTTAGTTAAAGCAAGCAGGTTAAATATGTGTTCTGGGAACGATTTGAGAGAAAAAGTCAATTTATTGAAACTGGACTACCCCTGTGAATTTCCTGGTGATCCAGTGCTCGGGACTCCATGATTTCACTGCCAAAGAACCAGGTTCAGTCCCTGGTTGGGGAACTAAGATCCCACAGGCTGAGTGGCACTGGGCCAAAAAAAAAATGGAATACCCATGCACAGATTTCATTGCATGCTGGGAACACAGCAAAAAGGAAAGGGAGAAAAGCAGTGGGATGATGAGATAGAGAAAAGAAATGCAGAACAGTTTTTGTCTAGTACACTATGTATAACATGAAAACCAGGTTTTGCTTTACTAATAGTTGTAGCTATTAATAATTTTCCATTATAGTTTTTTCAGTCATCCAACAAAACATTCTGATACCCACTTTCTAACCTGTTCCACGTATTCACTAGTTTCTCTTATTACCCATATAAGTAAAAGTAGCAACCCACAATCCACACATTACTTTTCTGCTGTTTGTATAACTAAAGCCTATTACTGTGCATAATATCTCAGGAGTTGTTTTCACTTTCAAAAGAGAATTTGTAAAAAATTACACTATTTCATTCATTTATATCTACATGGTCTAATATGTAGCCTCTGCTGCTGCTAAGTCACTTCAGTCATGTCCGACTCTGTGCGACCCCATAGATAGCAGCCTACCAGACTCGCCCATCCGTGGAATTCTCCAGGCAAGAATACTGGAGTGGGTTGCCATTTCCTTCTCTAGCCATGTGTAACTATTTAAATTTGAGTTAATTAAAATTAAGCAAAATGAAAGTCTGGTTCGTCAGTCACACTAGCCATATTTCAAGGCTGCAGCTACCATGTTGGCTAGGGCAGATATAGAACATTTTCATTATTGAATATGTTGAACTAGATCCTTACTTAGAGTCTTTCTGTCCCTGAAAATGGACTAGAAATATCTCACTATGTTAATTTACACAACATAGTATCACAGGACATTTTTATATTCTGTTTTAACTAGTACTTTAAAATAGAAGAAACCAGACTTAAACCATTGTAATATTTTTTCATAACTGTTTGTGGTCATGCTACCTATGTGATAAACAGCCATTTGTGGTTGGACCTTTGTTTTTGCTTTAGCAGTTAGCAAAACTAACATCCTCAGTCTATGCTTGAGATAGGTAAAAATGTTAATAGAAATTACTAATAAGTTTCTTTGGACTATAAATGTTTATTCAGATAGCCAACTCACTAGACTGTAAGATACAGGAACACAGAGGTTTTTGTCTGTTCTGTTCACTCTGGTGAATCCTCAGCAACTAAAGCAAGTTAAGGAACAGACTAGTCACTCAGTAATTATTTATGAATAATTTTTTCATGAATAAATGAATGAAAGAAAGAGAAGGTGGCAGGTAAGAGTATTAGAAGGGATGAATCAGTTTTTCACCTTAATTTTTGTGAACTCTTCACATTAATAACTTTTGTTATCATTTTGTTTTTGTTAAGGACTTCTTTATTCAAGATATTAATGCAGGCTTAAAAGACGAAACTGAAATACCGGATCAGTTAGTAAGTACTTGACTTTTTAATTTTATGAGGTGTTCATGAGCATCTCCACACTGTAAATAAGCTTACAGTTTTTGTTCCAATTTTTGAAATAAATTTAACTATTTTAACATAGAATGCATTTCTTATAGAATCAATGTTATCAGTTCCCAGACCAGCTCATGTCCCATTTTTGTATATAGGTTCCAATTTCGTCTCTCTCTGAAGAGCAGCTGGAAAACTTAATTAAGAAATTGAGAAAAGCAAGTGAAGGTAAGTCTGCCTAAATTTGCAAGTTAAATTTTATTAGAATAATCAGGTGGTGTATGAGTTGAACTTTCCTGGTGGCTCAGACAGTCAAGAGTGTGCCTGCAATGCAGGAGACCCAGGTTCAATCCCTGGGTTGGGGATCCCCTAGAGAAGGGAAATTCCTCTGGTTTAAGAGATATTACTACCATTGCTTAGAACCCTACTGTTTCACACTTGGTTGTTTAGGCTTGTGTGCTTTTATTTGGCACAGGTTTGAACTGCACACTTAAAGATCAAATTATGTCCCATCCAGCATTGCATGATGCCCTTAATGACCCTAAAAATGGTGATTCTGCAGCCAAACATCTGAAACAGCAGGTATGTTTAAACCACAGTAACTCTACTAAAAATGGCCTTTTTGTTCATTTGTCAGAAGCTAACATTCTGTTTTTTTCTAAATATAGTATTAATGAAATTTTGTTTAGGTTATCTTTCATGGTACAGAATCTCCATTTCAAACAATGTTGTCCAAACATATATGGAAAGTCCTTGGCACGGATAGGGTTCTGAGTACTGCACGTTAAGTTTTTAAAAATAGGAGAGAAACTTTAAAGCCAAAGAAAAATTATCATTATGAACGTGGTGCCCTATACAGAAATTGTCTTGCTGTTTTTCTATTTGAGCCAGATGTTTTTGTTCTAGTTTATAAAATAATCTTGTGAAGTTTGCAGGCTTCTATTTTAGGTAACATTGAAAATTTAAAGTTACTTGGTCCAAGAAGATGCTTTGTTGAATTTGGAGCAGGAAAGGGAAAATTATCTCATTGGGTTGATATTGCCTTAAAAGATGCTGAAAAAGTTCACTTCATCCTAGTAGAAAAGGTGACCACAAGATTCAAGGTAAGTGAAACCATTGTGGTATATTTGTAGCCAGATTTTGTTTGCACTTAAGAAAAAAAGCCTCTAAAAGAAAATGAGTTTTTTGTGTTTATTTGATTGTAGTTTTTTATTCTAATTATATTGGTGACTTAAACTAAAAGTAACTTTTTTTAATCTAAATTTCGATAGTTGATTGATCTGAGTTCTTAAAATAACAAAGACAGAAGATACGTGGAAAGAGCCAAGCTCAAGCTAGGAATTAAGGCTTCAGTCCTTCCCTACCTCTGAAACCTACTGTTTGTTCAGTGAACATTTATTGAGCATACCAGCAGAACCATGACAGATATTGAGTAGATAAAGTCAGATAAGATGAGAGTCCCTATTTCTATTACTTATGTTTAGAGTGAAAGTGAAAGTTGCTCAGTCGTGTCCAACTCTTTGCGACCCCATGGACTATACAGTCCATGGAATTCTCTAGGGCAGAATACTGGAGTGAGTAGCCTTTCCCTTATCCAGGGGATCTTCCCAACCCAAGAATCAAACCAGGTCTCCTGCATTGCAGGCAGATTCTTTACCAGCTGAGCCACAAACGAAGCCCACTTAGATTTAGAAAGAAGAGACAAATAGATAAATGATTTTTTTTTTCAGTGTTAAAATATGGGGGGGAAAAAGCTGCACAGAATACAGTGTGTGTTCAAAGGAGGGAGTGACAAGTTTTACTGCAGGGAAGTGATGATAAATGGCTACATAGAAAAAATGATATTTGAGGTGTGTCTTGAAAAGGGAGTATTTTCTAGATACAGGGCTTGAGAAGCATTCTAGGAAGCAAGAACAGTGTAACCAAATGCCTGAAAGGACAGGGGAACACAGAAACATTTCTGGGTGATGGAAGTACATGGTGTGAAGTAGAGTTCAACAGTGAGATGGGAGAGGTGGGAGAGACCTTGGAAGGGGTCATAGTTTATGCTATGGAAGGAGTTTGACTTTATCCTTTTACATGCTGGGGATACAGTGGAAACAAGATTTAATTCTTGTCTTCAAAAAGCTTACATCTAATGGGACAGTTTTATAAGCATATTGGTTTAGTACGCTAAGTGATAAGGACCAGATGATGTAAGAGTTCTACCAGAAGATAGAACACCAGCCTCAATGTAGGTTTCCTGAGGAGAAGGAAGCAGCAAAGAAGAGGTTTAAGGAGTATATCAGGATTGGTGAAGTAAGTGGAGTTTTAAAAGTTCATCCTAGCAGTACCATTAAAGCTGTATCAGAGGAGTATGACCTAGAGAGATTAATAATAAGATACTAGCCTATGATCCAGGTAAGAAATGGGCCAGAGCTAAGGATATTGCAGTGAGACAGAGGAGGGAAGAATATGAGAAATGTAATGATAGTGGGAGCCATGAGACTTTATTAAGAGGGAGGAGTTACTTCTGGTGACCTTTTGTGTCTTAAATGACTAAGTGGTGTTCTTCCCTCAGACAGGGATGTGGCAGGATGAAGGAGAAGAATATAGTTCAGAGGGAGAAATAATGAGTTCGGTTTTGGATGAGTTTGCTGTTGAAGGAGAACTTTGTGTTCGACAGTTGGATTTGTGTGTGCTCATCAGAACGGTCTGGGCCACAGTGTAGGTTTATCAGTCATAGGTATCTCTATATAGATGAGAATGGTTGTGATCTTTCAGGGAAAGTAAGGAGAGAAGCCAGCCACAAATAGTGTATTAGGGCCTGATAAAGATAAAGGAGCTGGCAAATAATCTTAGGTAAGTCAGTTAACATCTATGAGCATTAATGCCTTCATCAGTGAATTGGGGATTTTTAGAATTAAAGGAAATAATGTGCACATTATAATTTATAAAATGTTCGAGGCTTGTAAAAATGTGAGGGCTTCCCTGGTAGCTCAGCTGGTAAAGAATTCACCTGAAATGCAGGAGACCCCAGTTCAATTCCTGGGTTGGGAAGATCTGCTGGAGAAGGGATAGCATACCCACTCCAGTATTCTTGGGCTTCCCTGGTGACTGTTGGTGAGGAATCCACCTGCAACGCAGGAGACCTGGGTTCGATCCCTGGGTTGGGAAGATCCCTTGGAGAAGGGAAAGGCTACGCACTACAGTATTCTGGCCTGGAAAATCCCATGGACTTGTTATTTTCTGCCACAGAATATACAATTAACAATTCTGCTTTTTAAATACTAAAAAATAAAATGGAAAATTATTAGCTCTGACTTTTGAAAAGAAAAAGAAATCTTTTTATTTTCATAAAGCTTTTTTTTCCCTTACATGAAACCTATTGTTATAATAATGTTCTGTTTATACAGGTAGATGGCAAACACAGAAAGAAAAATTCAGTGTTTGAAAGACTTCAAATTGATATTCAACACTTGTGTTTGAGTAAGTTGCATAACTTTCAGTTGCTCTTCCATAAATCATGGAATTTTCAAACTCTTGAGGGTTGCTTAGAAATCCAATCAGGCAGAACAGTGCTTCAGGAAAAACAAAGATTAATCCATTTTTAATATAGAATTTTATATCTTAACATTTAGATACATATAAATGGGATGAGGGCACTCTTAAGAAATTGTTTTTCAGTATCCGCTAGACATGAAATGTCATACTAGAGAATAGTTTAAAATTTTTGATAATATGCCCTTATCTTGCTTATTTGTGCTGTTGAATTACTGAGTTTGTTCATGCCATACACCAGCCTTCTGCCCATTGTTAACATGACTTTACCAAAACTGTTAAGGAATTGAGCTAGTTCTCTCCCACAATTTTAAATTGTACCAAAGAAAATAACCCATCTCTATGGAACTTATTTCATACACACACCAATGAATCATACATTTTAATGCCCTTTTTGTACCTTTTTTAGTTTTTCATATTATTTAGAATAAAAATAATACAAACATATGCCAGCAACCTCTTCTGCTAATTTTAATTCAGCCCTGTAATGCAACCCACCATTGGCCCATATTGTAAATAAAATTTGTTCATTGAGTTAGTAGATAATTTATAATTTAATTTTTTTTGCTTGGTCTTTTAAAAATGTATTTAAGGTCTTATGTATAGCACAGGGAACTATATTCAATGTCCCCTGACAAACCATATTGAAGAAGAATGTATATATATGTTTATATAACTGATGACTTTGCTGTATAGTCGAAATTAACACATCATTGTAAATCGACTATTGAGGTATAACTTTAAAAATTGCACTTTAATTGTCTTAAATTGTTTTAATACATTTATCAAGTATTCTGTTAGTTGCCATCTTCCTGAAAAATTCTGTCCTGGATCCTTCAGACCTGTTCCAGTCTAGACTGGGCGTGCTCCTTTCTGTTCCTAGGGCACAATTGTCAACCTTAAAACTCTTCATTCTCATCCTGGGGATTCCCTTCACTCTTGTAGGTTGAAATATATTTTTCCACATTTTTTTTTTTTCTCTTTTGGCCATCCTGGATGGGTTTTGGGATCTTAGTTCCCCAACCAGGGATCGAATCCTCAGCAGTGAAAGTGTGGAGTCCTAACCACTGGACCGCCAGGGAATTCTCTTATTTATCTACATCTAACCCTACATCTTCCTCTGTTAATTTACTCTTCTTGGGCAAAGACCTCCTCTGTAGCTTCCTGAGAAACACCTGCATTAGAAAGAAATTTGATAACCTTGCATTGTCTGAAAATATCTTTTAACTTTACCCTTACACTTGATTTGGCTGGATCTTTTCTATTTCTGGGGCTTCCCTTGTGGCTCAGCTGGTAAAGAATCTGCCTGCGATGATCCCTGGGTTGGGAATATCCCCTGGGGAAGGGAAAGGTTACCTACTCCAGTATCCTGGCCTGGAGAATTCCATGGACTGTATAGTCCATGGGTTCACAAAGAGTTGGGCACAACTGAGTCACTTTCACTTTCACTTTCACTTTCTAAGAACTTTGAAACTATTACTCCATTAGTATTGTTGTTTAAAAGTTCAGTGCTGTTCTGAGTCCTGATCCCTTGTACATCATCTCCTTTTTTCTTTCTAGAAATGTATAGGCTCTTTTCTCTGTCCTCAGTTTTAAATTTCCACAGTGATGTGCCTTATAGTCATATTTTTATCTGTTGTGTTGGGCACTTGGTGTGCTTTTGTGTTTAGAGCAGTGGTTCTCAACTAAAGACAGTTTTGGCCCTCAGGGAGAATTGACAATGTCTGAGATATTTTTTGTTGTCACAAGAGTAGACATGTTGCTGGCTAGGTGGATACAGACCAGAGCCCTGCTAAATATCCTATAAGGTACAGTACAGTTCTCCACAGCAGTGAATTATTGGAGCCAAAAGTTAATAATGCCAAGGGTGAGAAATCCTGATTTAGAGATTCCAGTATTCTCAGCTTTCTGGGAAATTTCCTTGCATTCTGGGTAATTTCTTTGCATTCTTTCTTTCTTAATTTTCTCTGCTTCATTTTTTTCTTTTCTCCTTTAATGGGAGAACTTTTATGATCTAGTTATTAGACCTGAAATAGTTCTCTACTTTTCTTGACTTTACTTCTCTGTTCTGTATCTTTTTTTTTATACTTTTGCAAATTTCTTCAACTTAATTTCTTCTATCATAGTTTTAATTTCTAAGATCTTTTTCTCTGAATTTATCTGTTATTTTAACTGTTCTTCTTTTCAGAATTGTAGTATCTTTGTGAGGATATTAGCATACGCTTTTTAAGAAGTATTCTCCCTTTATAGTCTGTCTTTACTCATTTGCTCTTTTCCATTTGTTTTGGTCTGTCTTTTTCAACTGAGAGGCTCTGCTCAAGCATCTGTGCTTTTTGATGGTGTGTTCATAGTGAGGATCGAGGGACTATGAACTCTTGAGTCTTGAAGTGGAATTGTTGACTTCAAGCTCCAGTTTGAAGTAACTTGTCTAAAACATGATCTTTCCTCTTGGCTGGTCAGGTTCCCCAAATAACACTTTTTGATCACCTGCCTAGAGGGTGAGAGTCTAGTTACTAATGTTGTGGGACCCTGTGAGGAGTAAGAGCTTCATCCATATGCATACTCAGTTAATCCTGCTATTTTACCACACATCAGCTTTGCACTTAGGGCTTCCCTCATAGCTCAGACAGTAAAGAATCTGCCTGCAATGCGGGAGGCCCAGGTTCGATCCCTGATTTGGGAAGATCCCCTGGAGAAGGGAATAACAACCCACTCCAGTATTTTTGCCTGGAGAATTCCATGGACAGATGAGCCTGTCAGGCTACAATCCACGGGGTCAGAGAGTCAGACATGACTGAGCGACTAGCACACACACACAACTTCCCACTTCTTACCGTCCTTCAGTCCATTGACCTCCTGTCTTAATTGCTTCAGAGAATTATCTAGTTTTCCACCAGTTGGTAGAGAGGTCATCATCAGGTGGCTATGAGATGTGGATCTGACTACTTCTTAAATAGACTTTCTGCCAGTGCACTGTTATTCATAACTGTCTCAGCTCTTCTTCCAAAATTCCTGATGCCCCCAGTTCCATAAGAGCTTGATTAGACAACCTTTCTCTTCACTCTGATAGATAAGTTTCTTGAATCACTTTACTTGGGCAAACTGTTCCACTTGTTACCAATTTCTTCTAGCATGTGATATCGTCTGAAAGCAAGCAACAGAAAATTTGAAATATTTACTAAGGACCTCCATTGGACAAATAACTGTGCTGGGTGCTATAGCTGAACTTGTAGGGGGAAACATACTTTTCATTTTAGAAACTTAGAAAAAGGAATATGAATTGGATGGTGAGGGGGTGGGGGTGTTGGAAACAGAAGCCATAACTGTGATGTTCTGCATTTAGCTACATTACCCTGTAGATGTCTTTTTTCTTTTTTTTTTTTACTTTTATATACTATTATGACTATTTTATTCAGAACAGTGTGAAAAGCTAAAATAATGTCTTACTCTTATATAAGATTATATCTTATTCAAGATACAATAAAAGCTGTATTTTTAGTTTGATGATAATATTGAGTATATAATATTGTGTAATGTAAAATGTTGGTTGTATTATTCATGTGTATTTGTCATATATATTAGTTATATACCTAGTAGGGAAATTTTTGAGTCCTTTTATCAATGGATAATAGTAGTTAGCAAAATAAGGCTTCAACAGGGTAAAGTCCTGAGTCAGTATGGAATAGCCCTGGCCTAAAAAATCAAGAAACTTTAAATTAGGAGTAAAGAACCTGCTGGGGATAAGGTGGGAAGAAAAGGAAAACAAAAAACTTTTAAACTAATTCTCTCCATATCAGTAGTCATCTGTGTTACTTATCAAGTCACTATATCTTTGAGCCCCTTATTTCTAAGCTATTAAGTGAGAATTTTTTTGTTTGTGCCTCTTGGCCCTAAAATTCAAAGATTCTAGTTAGTTCTCTTTGGAAGCCAACTTAATGCCTTATCTCACAAGAGAACTAACTTAGTTCTTATTTCATTTCAGACAAGATTCCTTTGCTGAGCAAAGAAAAACTACCTGTGGTAGGAATTGGAAAGCATCTGTGTGGTGTGGCAACAGGTATGTAAACATACTAATAATGTTGAGATGAACGCATTAAGTTTTAGCATGAAAGAGTCTCTTTTCAGTAGTTTTAATCCCTTGTTTGTAACTCATTAATCTTCTTAGTTGGAGAAGGAAATGGCAGCCCACTCCAATACTATTGCCTGGAAAATCCCATGGGCCGAGAAGCCTGGTAGGCTACAGTCCACGGGGTTGCAAAGAGTCGGACACGACTGAGCAATGTTTAAAAAAGGGGGTGGGACCTTAAAGTTCTTTAGCATTTGCCCTGTATTATATCCAGTTTTAGAGCTTTCCTATTTAGTTGCTCATTTTGGCCACTTTGCAGGATGAATTAAGAGTTTTATGTGTAAATTCTGTATGATAAGGGCTTCCCTGGTGGCTCAGATGGTAAAGCGTCTGTCTGCAATGCAAGAGACCTGGGTTCGATCCCTGGGTCAGGAAGATCCCCTGGAGAAGGCAGTGGCAAGCCACTCCAGTACTCTTGCCTGGGAAATCCCATGGACAGAGGAGCCTGGTGGGCTACAGTCCATGGGGTCGCAAAGAGTTGGACACGACTGAGTGATGTTAAAAAAAAAAGGGGGTGGGACCTTAAAATTCTTAGGGTTATATTTCATCCAGAAAGGAAATCAGTCATTTACAGAAGCTATTATAGTTCTTTTCCTGAAGCCACTCATTTTTTTAGAGTTGCTTAGGAAGGACTCGGAAACCTCTCCCACTAGAAGATGATTATCAAAATTCTAGGGGAAACAAAAAAAGAAATGTTAAGATGTGTTGTCTTAAACTTGGATCCATCAGATGTAGCATGATAAAGTAGACAGAACATGGGCTTTGAAATCAAATAGTACAGGGTTCAGCTTTGTTGTGTGACTCTGGCAGATTAACCTTTGAGCCTCCAGTGAGGCCTGCTTTCCACATTCTGACCCTCTTCTTAACTCTTCACTATTTGCTGTGAATATCTTACATTTCAAGACTGACCCTGAATGTCAGCTTCAGCAGATGCTTAGCTGATGCCTTTCTTCTTTCTTTCTTTCTTTCTTTGGGTTCTTTAAGCTCAAAACTTCCCTGGAATATATATGTAGAAAACACACATTTTTTTCTTTGCAATCATTTCCTCATCAAGGGTAAGAAAAATGAGAGCCAGTTTGAGTAGTTGAACTAAAAGTTTTACAAATTTTAGATCTTAAGCTTCACATAGTTTTTTGGGGGTGGGGGAGTTGACTTTATGCAGAATAAATTGTTAGAGAAAATTATTCAATAATGAGAAAAGAGCAAGTATGAACAAAGTTGATATTAGCACAAGTATAAAGCTAAGTAGGTTTTTGTTGTTGGGCTTTTAAAAACCATACTGCCTAATAAATGTAAAATTTACTTAATTTTAAAGATGATGTGGTTTGGGGGGCCACATAATTGTGTTTGCAGATCTTGCATTACGATGTTTGGTTGAAACCTATGCTGCCAGTTGTGAGGAAAGGAATGAAGAACCTTTAGCCAAACGCATAAAGAATGATAAAACAGAAAAAGAAATTAACACTTTGGCCAAGGAAGGAAATGAAAAAAATACCCCAGAGAAGTGGACCCCTGTGGCTGGCATTGCTATTGCACTCTGTTGTCACCACAGGTGTGATTGGAGACATTATGTGGGCAAAGAATATTTCAGGGCTCTGGGCCTTGGAGCAGTGGATTTCCACTATTTCCAGCGAATGAGTAGTTGGGCGACTTGTGGGATGCGAAAAACGTCTTTGGCAGCTTCAAATATTTCCACAAAAAGAAGAGATAAACAGAATGATGGCAGTGAAGAGCATGATGACGGAGGATACACAATCACTGATGACAGCCCTGAGAGTTTGCCTGGGTGAGTGACTACTTTGAAGTGCGCAGCACTAAGGCAGAAATACCTTATCATTGCTGTACTTTATTTTTAGATGAATATTGCCAAAAATTCATTCCTGAAAATATATTTTACCATCTAATTTTAGAATAAGTTGAAATATACACACCTTTATTATGGCATTAATAAAACGTATCTTTGAAGCATGAAACATAGCACCTAGAACATACTGTGGGTTATTTAGCAGTTTGTCAATAAATAGGAATAGCTAAAATAATTTTTATAAGGTTTTAACAGCATTTTAATAATGTGTTATGTGTGTTTATTCAATTTAGGTTTCTTACTGTTGAAGAAAAGAAGAAAATAGGGCATCTTTGTAAATTGCTGATTGACCAAGGCCGAATCAAGTATTTACAGCAGAAAGGCTTCAGTCCTGCTTTACAGTACTACATAGACCCTCTGGTGTCTTTAGAAAATGTATTGTTAACTGCTTTACCAAATCATTCTTCATCACCAGAAACAAGTGCTTAATAAGAAAGAAATTTTGAACAACATCTGTCTTCCACCAAAAAAAAAATTTTTTAATTGTATTTTTATATTCATGGAAATAGCATTTAAATAGCAGATAATATGAACTTTAAAAATGTTGTGGCCTCATTGAACTTAGTTAATGGCTTTGTTTTTTACTTTAGAAATCCAAACATAAGAGAATTCACCAAATTCCCAAAGCAATCCTCTTTAGCAGGGCATCTTGAATTATATTATCCATCAGCGTCTATGGAGTTTGGGGAAGTAGTCTAGCAGTTGACTTGGTTACCTGAAACACATAACATGCCAACATGAAACTAGTACATTCACTTTCTATTTGCATTAATTTTAGAAACTTATTTTCCTTTGGTTTTATTTAATACTTTTTATTTTTCAAGTTCAAGATATAATGATCAATTATCAGTTTATAACAAGGACCAATCTGATAATTTGGCTTATGTATGGATTTTTTGTCGAGGCAGATCTGGAAAGAATAATTAATTGTGATTATTTGTTTCTATTGCAAATAAATACAGAAGTGTTCTCAGTCAATTAATGAATTTATCTTCAGATTTCAAAAGCCATACCTGTATTTATATATTATCAAAATTCATGACAGACACTAAAACTAAAGAGGTGTTTTCAAGGAAAAGAACTATTTCACTTCATTTTTTTAATTGGATAATTACCTAGTTAAAACTTCTAAAAGGACACTTATAAGCCTAATTCACAAATTAAATTGAAATTTGTAAATAACTTCTGAAGTTAATTAGGCATCAGTATCTTTTAATGGGTCATTTTTACATATATAAGGACAGTTACAAGTATATTCTCTACTGTTTCGGAAGATAATTTGGAATAAAGTGGAAATTAGATAGTGATACCAAAAACCTCACTTTTGGGCCTCAGCTCATAAGCAGTTTCTATGCACAAGTAAACATTAAACCAAACATATGGTAGGACTGTTAGTCTTTTCCTCATCGCATCCTTGGTTTATTTCTGCTTTATTTGTAAAAATTGTCTTAATCATCGTACATTTGCCAAGATAAAGATCCAGAAATACTAATTTAGATACAATAATGATACTCTTAAATAGCTAGTATTTGTAGGTCTATGAGTATGTTAATTATAAACTAGAAGTCTAGCACATTTTTACTTTCTGACCTTTCTACATATATCTCATGAGACTGCCTAGGTTCAAATCCCTACTACCTGATCTCTTTGTGCCTCAGTTCCCCTCTTGAAATGGGGATGTTGAAGATAATAATACCTCACAGGGTTGTCATATGAGCATTAAGTGAGATAACTAACATACTAAAATGCTTAGAAGAGTTCTAAGTACAGAGTAAGTACTTAATAAATATTAAGTTTTTAATAGTACTAATTCATAAAAATATTTTTAATGACAGGTTTTATTCTCTCTGTTTAAGTTGTAACCTTTTTTCTTTTGTAAGTTCTATGTCAAATATTATTAAAATAAAGTAGTTGGATTATTTTTTAAATTAGCTACTCATGCCTGCAAATTGAGACCATAAAGGAAGATAATAATACATTGTAATAATTAACCCCAATTTTGCTGAGTTAGGCAATGCTAATTTGTGTCATATGGTCTGTTTTACTTCATTCAACAATTTATGCCCAGAAATAAAAAGATATTCTACAACAGACATTATCTCTGTTATATTTCATAAAACATGCATATGCACACAAAAATTGTACTGATGAAGTCTGTGGCCCATTGAGCTTAATGAATGTCTCTGACACTAATACCGGATGCCCTGTGGGAAGATGAGCCACAGAGTCCTTGCTGGAGATCAGCATGCCAGCTGTAGGTAAAGACGATCGTTTCCCAGCCTTGTTTATTTCCCTTAAGATAACACGAGACAGTGAAAATGTGGGCTATACATGGGAGCTATTTCTTGACCGGCAAAATTTGCAGGTTCAGTAAACTCCTTAAACTTGAGATTGATCTACACAACTACCTCTTCCTGCATGTCCCACAGGTACATCACACATACTGTGTTGAAACTGAAGTTGTTGTTCCACTTCTACCACCAAACCAGCTTCTATACTTCATTTCCCCCATCTCAGCATCACCAGTCATCTAGTTCCAGCCAAAACCAGATTCATCCTGGACTCCTTTTTCTCATCTTCATTCAGTCAATTCTGTCTCCTGCCTGTCTTTTGTAAACTTATACTCTGCTATCCAAACCTAGGCCCCAAACTATTAAAAATTTTTTACATATCTTCCTCCAATCTGTCCCCCATGTTACTGTTTCTGCAACCTTGCTACAACAGATCTAATGACCTCCCTTGGATGTTGGTAAAAATATTTTTTCCAGCTGAAAATACTCTTTACCTTTTGCTCGATTATACCTGCTCTTCAAAATAACTGAAGATGTAACTAAATTCTTTTAACTCAAAAAGTTCTTCACATTTTAGTGAATTATAAAACGATGTTTTCTGTTACTATCCTATTGCTTATTTTTTATTAACGTAACTACGCCCTTTGTCCTCTTCCCCTTGGGTTAAGTCATTCCTTCCATAGTTAAAAAAAGGAACAAAAAGGTTTTAATTCTAAATTATCAGTGATTGAAATCTACACATCAGAAACACATTTTAACTATTGGCTAAAATCTATGTTCTCTTGATACATTTCACTCCTAGGCACGGTAGCAAAATGTTTTCTCTTTTTCCTAGTCAATTTTTTTTTTCTATTTGCGAATTATTGCAGAAAAAGGAAACAGTAGGGAAGGTAGTGTTTAATGAATAACTGACATAACAAACTGATAGAATGAGGCAGTGAAGCTTTAAGAATTACATCATTCACTTGGTCGTGCTTCAAGTTTTTGAGCAAAGAAATTTATTTCCTGACTCTACTTGAAAGACTTTTTATATTTTTACAGCCTTTCACTCCAAGGCTTTATCAAAATTGTGAACACATTTAAATTTCACTTTTTTTTTCCTTCAACAATATTGACTAAGAGGGTAGGATTTGACAGAAAAGGTAAAATGGAATGAAAAGTCTATGAAGGAATTCATGTATATACATATATGCATACACACATTACTAAAAAGAATTTTTAACCTGTGTTATATACAGATCTCATACCTGCTCTCCGTGACTCCTGTATATATGTGTGCATAAACTGAAGGCCAAATAATTCCCGTTCCTCTTCCTCATCTATGTTTTCACTGGGAGGAAGTGTTACTTCCAATTTCAATGGGTTGTCTCGGAAGTTGACAAACCTAGCAGTTCACCAAAAAACAGTATTTTTATAGGTGCCATAGAAGTGTACATTTATTTTCCTGGAGAAAGATCAAATGATAATATACTAAATTACTCTTTTTTAACTGGTTTCAATAACTGAACATCTTGGTGAGATGTGATATATCCCAAGAATCTTTAAGTTTCTTTCCTAGAAGAAAAAAATATTAGCTTTAGACAACTTATTTTTCAAGCTTGTAAAAGCAATTATTAGTCCATAGCATATGTTTAATGTGGTATGATTTAACTTGCAAGAGCAATCCCAATGCATCTCAAAAGTACAATTAATGCTATGAACTTAAATTTTCTGCATATTTTAAAAAGTATGTCTTATCTATCATTGTATTTTTACCACCAGGTACAGGGCTCAATAGTTGCTAAATAAATGAATGATTCTGTTGAAAGTTGCGGGATTTGTTATGAATTGTGATGTCTTATGCTCACTGTCAGGAAATTAAGTTTTGGAAGATACTTGAGGAAGATCTGTTAGTAATTAACTTAGTAAAAAGTTATATTTAACATTGCCTGTGTCCATTTGTAGTTATTTAGAAGGAAAATAATCACTGTTCTTATGGTTTTGGTATTTATATCATGGATAAAGTTTATTAGCAATTATAAAGATGATTTTCAGGAAGATGTCACCAACAGAGGGCATTCCTTAAAGCTGATAAATCCCACTACTGTTTTAGTTTCAAGGATTCTTGAGTAATTTAGGCAAGTATTATATGAATCCTATTTATAAATTATAGCACTTCAAAGTTGGAAGAGATTTTTAAATGTATTTATTTATGTGAATGAGAACTCAAATCTATTCTTAGCAATTTCTTCATATTATTTTGTTCTGCAGCTGGAAAGGAACATGTGAGTTCTGTGTCTACAAATTTTACCTTAGATTGGTCATCTCTTCCATACACTCTGGAATATCTTGCAGTTTATTGTTGCTGAGAACAAGAGTACTCAGATTTTTCATACTGCTGATTGTTTCTGGCAAACATGTTATTTCATTCCGTTGCAGCCATAATGTATGTAGATTTTGCATTCTGAAGAATTAAAAAGGTTTCTGTGATTAATCACATATAATATGAAAACCCTGGTTCTTATTAACTTAAAAAAATTTTAATGTCATACTATATAATATCTCGTTTAACCAGTCTACCTGAGTTAACTGACTTTACATTACCTGATTTTAGGGAAACTGGATCAGGGAACTAATCTCCATCTACAGTACAACTCTCATGTAGTAGTAGAAATGAAATCAAGGTATTCTATAATTCTTCACTATTTCATAGGATTTCTTGCATAACTGCTAAAATGTTATCTAATCTGAATTAGAATCTTAAAAGCAAACTCAAATTATTAATATGCCCATTTAGAGCAAGGCAAGTATGCACATTGTTTAACAGCGTGGACTCAGGCCAGGGTGCAGGTGTTTAGGCACTAAAATATCTGATGCTTTTGAGACCGCAGGGGACTAGAGCCCACTGAGCTCCTCTGTCCATGGGATTTCCCAGGCAAGAATACTGGGGTCGGTTGCCATTTCCTTCTCCAGGGGATCTTCCAGACCCAGGGATCAAACCCCACATCACTTGCATTGCAAGCGGACTCTTTACAGCTGAGCCACTGGAGGGTGTAGGTGCCTGGGTTCAAATCATAGCTGTCACACTAACTGTGATCTTCAGCAATTCACTAACATCTCTACATCAGTTTCCTCAATCAGTTTTTAAACTGCACAGAGCAGGCACTAAGCAATGTTGTTATTGTGGCATATTGTCCATTTGTTGATGTCAGAAAGCCCGTTTTTCTGTCCCAAACCTCATGCCCCCTCCTTTTTTTGTCTGCACCCCATGGCTTGTGGGATTTTAGTTCCCCGGACCAGAGATGGAATCCAAAGTAGCACTAAACATCTATTGTGAATGATTATCTCCGGGGTCTCCTTTGTTTTGTTTGTTGTCATAGATGGCTTCAACACATCTCTCGGTAGTAAAAAAAAAAAAAAAGTTATTTTACCTTTCTATAGTATCAGGAAGTTGTTCAAGTCTGTTGCTTCCCATATCAAGCCACTCAAGGGCAGGCATGTTCAGTACAGCAGGAGGGATTGTAGTAAAGAGGTTCATACTCAAATCAAGGTGAGTAAGCTTTAACAAATTGCTGAGCTGAAGAGGAAGGCAAAGTTTTTCAAAATGTCCGCAATGTAACCTACTACAACACTCACACTGGTAAAGGAGATATTTCACATCAAGGAGTGTTTACATTATGCTTGGGTTTTATTTAGTCATAGAAATCCATAGTAAATTTGAGAGAACAATAAAGCTAAATAACCTCCAGATAACAGCTCTCATAGAAAGTTCATCTGCTCAAAGAAAACATATCTTCCAAAATCACCAAGCTCCAGGGTTTAGAGAACCCACCTGGCAGAAGCTTTTTTGTTTTCTTTCTGTGAGTAAACATGTTTCCCTTTTATCTAGTAGTCAAGATTTTCTTGGGAAAACCCAAAGTTCAGAATAATAGTTATCTTTGTTAAACCCTCTATTTTTGTGCCTGATGCTTTACACGTTACCTCAGTCATAGAATTTACTGTTTGGTAAATTCCATTTTTTAAATGAAAAATCAATAAAAAGTTGATTAAGACTAACAGCACCAGTGTGCTCAGCTTAAGAAAGCAAATATATTGATATCACTGCCCTCTATATACATCTCCCTTCTTCCTCTTGAAAGATAACTCTATCCTGAATTTGGTATCTATTATTCCTATTCCCATGCATTTTCAAATGTTTTTATTACTATACATAAATATATGTTTTCTATGTTTTTCTCTATATATATTACTATTATGTGTATTTTTTCAGAAACAAAATTATCTTTTTACATGTTTTAACAATGATACTATACTTATCTTTAACTTGCTTTTTTCTCTCAGTGTCAGTGTTTATATGAATTCATGTTGATGCATACAGCTCTAGTTTAGTCATCAACTTTACAAAGTTAGTACCTTTTTCCCCTTTTACGGACAAAATGGTTTAGAGAGACCATGTGACCGACCATTAGAGAGACCAGCTATGATGTGCACTCAAGTTTTCATGGACCTAAAGTCACAAAATTTCTAAATTTCTCTTCTGTAGTGAAAATTTCAAAATGTAGGAATTCAGTTAAGTTTTACAAAAGATTCTCTATTTAGCTAGGCAATTCTATGTTTTCTTTCTGTCCCAGGGCACATTCAGATTCATTCCACAACTTTAACTAAAACTTCAAAAAATGCAGAGATACAGTGATTATGGGTAATGCAAAAAAGCAGTTTTCCATTTAGTAGGTGATATTTCTCCAGCTTTAGAATCAAGTGATGAAAAAAAAAAATACTTCTTCAAAACTTGTCATCAGATTTTAAATTTTTCAGATGGTTCA